AACAGCCCCCCCCCCCCAAAAAAAAAGAATCAGAGAATAAGCATACCTAACTTTCTGACCCTCCTCTCAAAAGAGCATTTGTCTCCATATATTTACACTGCTATATGCAGTAGTGTATGTATGTAGAGAAGAGGAAGAAAAAAGCCAAGCATTTATTTACATTGTCAATTAATTTCCATCAGACACAAAGGCACAGAATTTTGGAAGCTCAAAAGGCAGTGGGCAATCAAGCCCTGATGAAACTCAGTGGAAGGTAGACATTTACTTCCTGACTTTGCCTTAAAAATGGCTCCCAAAGCATTTGCTTTCTACATTAAATTTAGGTATATTCTGCTCCCATTTTTCACCCATCTACTGTTGTTTTTAATTCGCTGATAGTAGCATGCATTTACAATAGGAACAGATCTCTTTCTTAACTTCCCTTCCCCGCTGTAACATTATGACTGTTGATATCAGGTAGAAAAACAATATTTTGGCCCTACCATTTTTCTAAAGAGAAGATGCATTCAGCTTAGTGTCCCTCTTGGATCTACATTAACACATCCAGCTAAAAGTTTCAGGAACCAGCGCTGCATTTTACATACCAAGTAGAGCCTGAAATTCCACACACATATGTTGTGCTGTCCAGAAGGCCTAACTGCTGAAGGCCTGATAGGCTGCCATAGAGTGATGTCAGTGCTCTGGTCCCACCCCCAGATCCCAAAACCGCTACTACAGGAACCTGCAGAAATAAACCAAAACCAATATATTTACATAGCCTTTCTTGATTTGCTATTTATTTTTAAAATAACTCTTTACTTGTCTTAGAATAAGACCCATCAAGCACAGACACTTCTACTTCTATTAATATACCAATTAATTTTATATTTGAATGTAATCATTTTGGTCATTAGCTGCAGTATAAAAATATTGTACCATCCAAAGAGTCAGTCACTTGCTAAAATGAGGTGCAAGGTATACTGCCCACAGATATGGTCCTTTCAATGTGTGTCTTGTAACACTCCATGAAACACAGTTACAAACAACAACAAAAATACAAGCCATTTCTACAGGAACAGTATTTAAAGGCCCTAAGCAGTGATCAGAGCTTTATTGTATCAGGCACAGTACACAAAACACACTCTTCCTGCTCACTCCTACATTTCTAATCCCCTCAAATTGGCACAAAGGAAGCTGCATATATGGGTGTTGTTTGGCCTAAAAGCTGATTTTATTGTAAGCCTAAAGAACTCAAAACATAAGATGCAGCAGCTCTAGATAAGAGAATCTGGAGAGATTCTGACACCTTGAACATCAAGACATTTTCATAAAATTTTTGGAAAACTTCTAATAATTTTTGTGTGTTTCCTAAAAGGAAAATTTAATAAAATAAACAATAGAGAGATTCTGTAACCTGGAATTCAAACTTCATATTTCTCTAGTGAGAAACTCAAAATAGGACATGTTATAAATGTCCCTTGGGTTTGAAGAAAGCTCTGTTGTTTACATGCAGAGTCCTACATTGTTATTCTGAAGATTAATCGAGTTTAAATGAGCCTGCAAACATCTCCAAAGTTAGGCTGCATACCTCATCTTTCTCAGGGGTCTCCCTTAAGTTAAGGGCCGTCTTCAGTGCTTCAGCAACTATTATCTTCCTCTTCTCCAAAAATTCTCTCTCTTGTTTACAGAGGTCAAACCCAAGGCGTATATCCAGATCCCAAGGGCTGATTTCAGAAATTGGAGTTGGAAAGAAAAATCATTAAAGGGGATTTCAAAGCTCTAAAGCACCTCATGAAAAAGGTGCTTACCAGTCTTTTCTCAGCAAATATTCTAGACTTTTGGCTGAAACATGCCATCAAAACACAAAATCAACACTCACATAAAACCAGAAGTATATCTATCTACCAACAATAAGAGAGTCCCCTGGTTAAAAGTGAACTTTACCACTCTATTATCATTATTTTATTTTGTGACAAATTAGATCATACATAAATGCCAGGTTTCAGTTGTTTCATACAAGCGTAATAATTACAGTTGGGCTTCAGAGATTTCAGAGGAAAGAAGATTCTTGGTAAAAAGAGAAAGAAAGTCAATTAGAGGCTGGGAACACTGCATTGAAGAAAGACAAAGGAGGTTTTGTCATACATAAGTGACTGGCTCCATACCTCCACAGTTAGAGTACTAGTTTTGTTAACCAGGGATTGTGTCATAACTCATAAGGCAAGTTCAGCAAGAATTTTAGCAGATTCAAAAGAAAAAACACCTTTCTATTAGCTTGTAGAGGAGAGTTGGGTCAGAAACTAATGTGAAGAGAAAAAGGTCATTTAGGCTAACTTATATCTCTTTAAAATGTTACTAGAAAAGATATGGATTTAGCCACTCATTATCCAACTACTTTTGCTTCTACGTGCTATCCCATTCCACCAGAGTTCTCCTATTTCAGATTGTAAACTCTGTGCCAGGGATGGCTTCTGCCTATTTGTCTGTACAGTGCTCAGTACTTTATGTTATTATAGTTAGCTGCCTATTTATAGTCCTTGGTCCTCAGAATATATGAAAAGTTTGTTCAGGTTTCAGGTCTTTTCCCAATACCAGTGCAACAAAAAAAATATTTTTACAGTAGAAATTAAAATGGAATTTGACTAGCAGAAAAAAATCTCCAATGGGTTTTTATTTTTAAAGTCAACCTGCACAGACATCTGGCAAACTGAGTGTATGGCAGAGAAAAATTAGTCACCCATGCTGTTTGCTAAGAGAAAGAAGACCTTTCCTCAAAGGATATATCAAGAATAGATGAGGTTCTGACTCACCTCACTTCAGAAGTCATGCTGAAATCCAAACTCTGTCCCTGTAAAGTGCAACAAATCCCTTGTTTCACATGTGGTCCCATTGAAGGGCATAGAAACTGTGCTCAACGTTGTCTTCAAATATTCTACAAGTTCAACATGTCTACTAGCAAAGCCAAATGTATAGAATACATTTTTCCCCAATATCTATTTTGTATTTAGGACCACAGGAAAGTAGGGCTGGAAGGGACCTCACAAGTTTGTCTAGTCCACCCCCTGCTCCAGGCAGGATCATTTCTAATTAAACCATCCAAGCCAAGAGTCTGCCCAACCTACCCTTGAAGATTTCCAAAGATAGAGATTCCACAATTTCTGTAAATCACCTGTTCCAATGCTTGACAACCCCCATAGTCAGAAAGTTCCTCCTAATCTCCAACCTAAATTTCCCCTGCTGCAGCTTGAGGCCATTGCTCCTTGTCCTGTCTGCCGCAGCCACAGAGAAAAGCTCAACTCCATTCTCTCTAATTGCCTATCAGGAATTATAATGAGAATGGAGATGGACTACTTACATGAGTATTACCCTGAAGGAACATGGATTTGGAAAATATTTACTTCTTCTGTGAACTTTTTGCTTTACTTCCTTCTTGCAAAGCCTATTTGTTTCTTCCCTTACTTCTACAAAACACATAAGCACTAATGTTTTTCTCAAAAGGAACCAGGCCCCAAAACACCACTTGTGAGAATGATTCTTGAACAATCTCTCCAAGAAGTGTCTTTTCTTGAGGTATTAAGTTTTAAATTTCAGTAAACACAATCACTAAGTAATTCTTCAGTGAAGACAGTGTTTTTATGCCAAACTTCAGAAGTGCCTTCTACTAAATATTGGAACGAATGGCACTTTATTCCAAGACTAATAAAACATGCAAAAAAAATCATGTCTTACCTCTCCAAGAGGAACAATCATGTCTACTTTCTGTCCAACAGGAAGTGACTTAATTGGTACAACCCCTGATCCCAAAACTGTGGTCTGCTTTTCTATGTCATGGCTCATTCCATCCTATTCATAATAAAATAATAATAAAAGGGTAATGATTAAATAATGATAAAACATTATTATAAAATAATGATAAGAGATATAATAAAATCTTTTATGATAATAATTATAAAAATTATTCTAAAATTATTAATAATTGTGATAATAAAACATAACATAACATGATACTAATAAAGTTAGAATTTCAGAAGTGTTTTCAAATTCACAGAAAAAAATGTTCTTGGAATCATTGATTTTATCTGTAAAAATGTAAAAGGCAAATGAGTGTCACAAAATAGAATTCTTTGCACCCTATGGCTAGGGACAGAAATTACACACCAGCCGGTATGAGTGCTTGGAAACCAGTTCAAATCTGTAACACAACAGAAGTTCAGTGTACATAAACCACTTTCAAAATGGCTGAAACCAGTTTAAGATAAAGCTGGATAAATGTAATATCAGACTTAACTGATTCAGGTTAAATCAGTTATTGGACTTCTGTCCCAGATCCCTTCCAGATTCAAGTTAACTTTCAGTCCCCCAGAATCCAAGGATGCTTTGGCACCTCCCCTGCAAACCCTCTCTTGCAGGGTGGGTGAGCTAGCCTTTGCCCAGCTTCTCTTCTGCAACTTAGCAGGGAGGCATGTTCTAGCACCCCCCAGCTTCTGGCCTGGACCACTGCAGGCATTTCCAGAATCAAAACTGAATGCCTGTTCATTTGCTTATCAGTTCAATTTACATAGCTTAGACTAGCCTGTGAAAATTGAATCAATTCAGCCTTGGGTTTGTTGACTGTCTGCACTTAGCCCATAAATTTGCTTCAGCTAAATCTTTATTAAAATAAGCCTTAGGTAGTCACCAACCATCAACCACCATACCTGTTCTCTGCCAAACCTTCTCTGCTGTGACTTGTTTCACTCATTCCAAAACCTTACGTTACTCAACTAGTTTTTTTTTTAATTTATTTACTTACTTTAAATCAACCTTCCACAAAAATGTTCCCTTCATCCAAATGTG